GCCAGAAAGTTGAGGCCATATTTCCAGTCACACCCAATCATTGTTCTCACAGATCAACCTCTCAGGCAGATTTTGCAGAAACCAGAGTGCTCTGAAAGATTAATTAAGTGGGCAGTAGAACTGGGGGAGTTTGAGATAACGTTTCAGCAGAGATCGGCCATCCGAGCTCAAGCATTAGCAGATTTTATTGTCGAATGTACTCCATGTCTTTCAACCTCTAATCCCGAGCCCAACGACTGGACCTTAAATGTTGACGGAGCATCTAGTAGCAAGGGTTCAGGGGCTGGCGCTCTTTTGATTGGTCCAGAGGGATACCGAAGCGAACATGCCCTGAAGTTCAACTTTGATGCAACAAATAACATGGCTGAATATGAAGCTCTGCTACTTGGCCTACAGCTAGCATTAGAGTTAAAAATCAGCGTAATTCAAGTATACAGCGACTCCCAATTGGTAGTAAACCAAATCAACTCAATCTGCGAAGTCGTTGATCCTGTGATGGTGAAATATGCAGCCTTGGTGGCCGAGCTGAAATGCAAATTCCAGAAATTCTGTTTGAGCAAAATCCCCCAAACTGAGAATGAACAGGCAGATTCACTCTCCAAGTTTGCCTCTGATAGCTCTTTAAGTTCCAGATCTGTTTTTGTCGAGGTCCTAGATGAACCAAGCTTCATGAAGCCTCGGGTGATGGAGATTAGCACAAACCCTGATGCGCCAAGCTGGACTGATTCAATCATCTCTTTTTTGCGAGATGGAATAGTACCTGAGGACAGGCAGGAGGCAATGAAGTTGAGAAAGAAAGCATCTCGGTATACACTCATTGATGGGGTCCTATACAAGAGATCTTTCTCACTTCCTCTTCTGCGATGTTTAAACCCCTATGAAGCCGAATATGCACTTCAAGAAGTGCACGAAGGTGTCTGTGGGAGTCATGTCGACGCTAGGACTCTGGCTCACAAAGTCTCAAGGCAAGGATATTACTGGCCAAACATGCATAAAGATGCCACTTACTTTGTTCAGAAATGCCTGAAATGTCAATTCTTTGCACATCTGACTCACCAGCCAGCAGAGGAGCTCACGAACTTGGTAGCACCATGGCCATTTGCTCAGTGGGGACTAGATCTTTTAGACCCGTTCGTGAAAGGGGTTGGTGGTGTAACCCATCTGGTTGTTGGTGTGGATTATTTTACAAAGTGGGTTGAAGCTCGGCCTTTATCTAGTCTTACTTCAAAGAAGGTCGAAGATTTTGTTTTCAGCTCGATCATCTGCAGATATGGGATCCCGAATCAGATTGTGGCCGATAATGGAACTCAATTCAATTGCTCCTCATTCCGAGATTTCTGTTCTAGTTATGGGATCAAGTTACAGTTCACCTCCGTTTATCATTCGGAGTCCAATGGTATGGTTGAATCTGTTAACAAATGCATTTTGGAAGGTATAAGGCCGAGATTGGAATAGCATAAGGCCAAGTGGGCAGACGAGCTCAACAACGTCCTCTGGGCGTACAGAACCACGAGCTGAACTGCCACAGGTACTACTTTAAACCAAATCTATTTGATTAATTTCTATATTATTTTACGCTTTACCTTAGAGCAAATATGCATAATGTGTAAAGCGCATTCTAAAGTTATAACTAACTAAAATAGGTGAAACACCCTACCACTTGGCCTTTGGCATCGAAGTAGTCATTCCCGTTGAAATAGGAGTCCCAAGCTTCCGGGTCACCCATTTCGATGAAGGATGAAATGGACAACTGCTTTGGGAAAACCTTGATCT